CAGCGGCACGGGCGCTGCTTGGCCTCGCCTAGAAGCGAGACAGAGGCTGTGAGAGAGACCACCTGAGAGCAGGCACGGCGCGCCGCTCGGTCTCGTCTCCTTTGGCGCCGTCATCGGGGCGGTCGAGCATTGGGGGCTGGGCGAGCGCGTGCGCGCGCTGCTGCTGGCAGCAAACAGCGCCCAGCAGCAGCAGGAGGCGAGGGCCTCTGCGAGGGCGTCCGCAGCGGAGGGCGAGGCGCGCGGGGGCGATGTCAGCGCGAGTACCGAGTGATTAAACTCCGCGCGGATGAAAGTCGTGTACGGGGTGGCTGAGCCCTCTAGCTCTTCCGATAGCCCTAAAATAGAGGGCCCACAGCGTCCCCCCCTCCCCCCGGGTTCGAACTGGCAGCCACTCGCACCAAGAAAGGGCGCTGGCACGCAGCCGCCACGAGAGGAAGCGAGAGATGTACTCACATGGGCGAGTGGTGACCTATGTACGGGTGTGCCTGTGTGTTGCCCAATGCAGGTGGGGGTCAGTTTTGCAGGCCTGTCAACTCGAACCCAAGAAGAGCTGGAGGCGGTGAAGAGCATGCCAGAGCTTGGCCATTTGAGTGGCGAAGACTTTGAGGGCTACTGCGCCGGCTGGCTCGAGCAGGGGCACCGCCCTGAGGTCTCTGCCTGGGCGTCGGTTCGGCGCATCGACATTGTCACCTTTGCTGAGTCCATGGATTCAGAAGCCCGATGCTTCAACCCGACATTGCCGTCCGCTTTGTCATGCGCGGCTTCGGTGTTCCCACTCATGTGAACCTCGAGGCGAAGACGCACGGCGATGTTATTCTGCTCCGAGCCAATTCATCCTTGCCGCGAGGGACGGGACCGTTGGTCTCTCTAAGACTCTGGTATTCGTGCGCGTTGTCTGCCTTTTCGCAGGCGACGTACATTGGCAAGGCGGACGACGATACCTTTGTGCACTTGCCGAGCATTTCTCGCCAGCTCCAAGCTCTCTCACCCGACGCGCCAACGTACTGGGGCGAATTTGAGTGCTATCACTGGAACACGACGCGGCAGACGCCGACTTGGTTCTGCGTCGATGTTCCGCGTCGCGCTGGAAGCTGTCGGATGAACCAGCAGGTGCTAGGACCCTTTGCCTTTGCAAAGGGCGCCCTGAACTTTCTGAGCCAGAGTCTTGCTCGGCACCTGGTCCGCAGTAAACTAGCAGCCCACAGTGCATCCGCAGCCATTCGCACCTTTGCCGAATATGAGCAGACTACGCGCGGGCGCGAGTGCGGCCACTGCCTGCCTTTCGAGGATGTGTGGACAGGGGCTGCGATCGCGCGCCTGACAGAGCTGCCACGCTTGCGCCTGGTCTCGTCGCCCCCCACCAGTGCTATCGTCCACTTGAAGGACAAGGCCAGCGCGAAAGAGTTTGAAGCCCTGTCGCACGTCGCATCAAGGAGGAGCCACTGCGATGCAGCCACCATCAACACCTTTTCCATGTGCACTATCCACCCCGCACGCACCTGTGGCGGGGCTGAGCAGCAATTTTGCAGAGGCACCCCTCAGCATCCCCTGCGTGGCTCTTGCCCGGGTATGGGCCATGGCGTTAGCGGAATCGACCACCAGCCCCCAAAGATCGCTTTTCTCTGACACCAAAACGCACCCCACTATCGCTACTAGTGCCGCGCCTCCCCCGTCGCAGCCGCCCTCCCCACCGCCGCCCTCGTCTCCGCCCTCGCCGCCGCCGCCCTAACACCCGCCGTCGCTGGGGCCTCCGTCGCCGCCACCCTCGCCGCCGCCGCCCGCCCCGCCGC